GTAGCATAAAAGGAGCAAATATCAGGTGATTTTGATCCTGGCAAAGCCTCTAATTGTGCATCCCTAAGCATAACAGTTATCTCTCACTGTAGCTGACATTTACTAACAACAGCAAGGAGCGCAGGACTGAAGAGCTTACCTCTGCAGCTCAAAACAAGACGTTAAGAAGCTTAGCTGCAATCAGGTGTGCATATTGCACTCTAACCTTTGTATGCTGGATAAAGCCTGATGGTGTGAGGCAGTGTATCCCCCCACACACATACACACACATACGGATAGTCTTACAGACTCCTCCATTATTGTGCCGTTCATTCTGCGAAACATGACTCCATAATGAACTACTACAGTCCTCTGTTTTCAGTCTGATGGGGACACCATTATGTGGATCTCTCTCAGGCTATTATCATGACACTGGCCATTGCCATGCTCACATCACAGAAAGCTGCAAATTAACCCTCAGACAAATTACTTATTTTGTATTATAGGTTATGAGTATTCTGACCAATATCAGATGTTCCAGAGTTTCTGAGGGTGATCCAACAAAGTTAAGTAATTTTGGTCAAAACAATGCAGGCCAGTGTTGAATCATGTAATCAAAGGTACACCAGTGAGTTATTAATATGTTGTAAGACATATCGTAAATGCAATTTGTAACAAGAACAGTATTATGTACAAATCATGCAGTCGTTCTGAGAATGAGTTAACCACTGTATTGAAGTACTGCCCTACTTACCCTTTTGAATGGACCGTTTCCATTGCTTCAGTGACACATTTTTATCATGATACGTTTTATTATCATCATAAACAATATGCTGTTCTGAGCATATCATGAAAATTGTAAGTACTTAACACAGTGCAGTATGCAAAATGTTGAATGGAAATCATTGTGGCAAGAATTTTTGATGGCAGTTTTTAAATGTGGTACTACTAGTGCATTAAGTCTGTGTCAAAATATTGTGATATGTATCGTAAAAATATTTTTGCCATATCACCCACCCCATATTAGCTCTATTTGGGAAACAGAATATTTGGGGAATTTATCTCACAATAAAGAAGAACCAAAAAGCTATTCCAAGTTTTAAAACTGTACACATGACAACCCATTCCAAAACAAAAAAACCAAAAAGATAGCAATTAAAAATATATGATAACAGGTATTATTACATTCTTAATAGTTTGGAGGAGATATAATTCAAGTCAAGTTACAAATAGGAGAGTCACAGTTGATTCATCTGAAGGCATTCAATGAAATGGTCCATATAATTTTTAACTTCTTGACTGAGCCTGTATTAATATATCATAATCTCTCCAAGTGTATAGAAGAAACCATTTCAGAAGGCCATATTTTAGATGAGTGAGAACATTTAGATTTCCACTCTCTGAGATTAATCCTTTTCTCCAAAATCATGCCAAACATTAATGCTGGCTGTTGACTATGTGGTAATATGGCAATACTGGGTCAGGAGAAATCTCTCTGTTGTACACTTCAGAAAACCAATTAAATAGATTAGCTCAAAAAGAGGACATTTTAGGGCAGAACCAAAAGGTATGAAGCAAGTTTCCATCAAATATATCGTTCAGACTTAGTGCTTGTTTGTGAATTATGGTGACCACCATGCCTATTCTGTTTAACTGAAATGATTTAAAAAACAAATATATAATTGCACAGTGACATGCTAAAGTAGCCTACAATATTTGGCTCCAGACCATGTTGGACCATAGTGTGAATGTGTGTTTTTAGTAACTGGAGAGTGTCCAGGTACTAACCAGACTGATGAGACAGTAATGACTGTGCATTCTGCAGACACCCAGACGACTATCTAACAACCTCTCGCCTCTTACAATAACAGCATCCCTTTTAACTGTAAGTCTGCATGTCTGTGCTTTGTCACACTCTGACTGGTGAGACTGGCACTGGCTGCTGCCCCACAGGAACACATTCAGCCTCTGCCCTGAAAGGCCCTTGACTCTTAATGTCTGCATGCACTGATTAGCCTCTGCTTTATTAGCAGTGATTTATGCTGTCTGGAAGTGCAGAACAGCTTTTGAACTCATTAATGTGCCTCAATATAATCAAATTTAGCCGTATTACCAGCTACCATTCAAAAGTTTTCATGATGTTAAACCAATTTTGTTGTTTAAAATGACTCCATTATGATTCCAGTGATCTGCAACTTTCAGGTTCCACGTAATCTCTAGGAAGCTGTAAAACATTAAGAAATGTTTGATGTGTCTAGAATGATGAACAGAGCTGTAAGTAATTCCCAGAATTACTGAGAAAGCTGTATAGCATTGAATGAACCTCTCAGTTATAAAAAATAATATCCATGCCTTTTATCTTGACAAAAAATGATTAGAAATACATAATTTCTGTATATTATTAATCGTTTTGTTCTTAAAACTTGAAATATTTAATAAAACATCTAAAAAAATACCTTTTAGGGCAGATTTATGAAAGAAACATTTTTCTGGAAGTCAGATGTAAGAAAAAAAGAGCAGTTAAGAAACATAAAATGTCTTCAGAATTTTGGAATTGTATGACAGAGTTTGGAGTCTTGCCCAAGGTCCCTTCTTGGGATAATGTAGGTTGGTTGCCTAGGCAGGGGATCAAAGCCTGTCTGCAGCGTGGAGGGCAGAGGTGTTACCCGTTACACTATACCAACCACTTAAATTTCTTATTTATTAACCTTAAGAACATTTTTAAGAAATACTAATACAGGTACTTTTATTGATATGCTTCTTGACTAATAACCTAATAGCCTACATAGGAAAATAAAAAGACCATTAAAAAAGGTTTCACTACAATGTTTTTTGAGAATTTACTGTTTTTATAGAGCATTGAAAAACATTCTTATTAAATTTTTAGTGTTTGTTCTAAAATCATTCTTATTCATTCATTCATTCATTCATTTATTTACTTATTTATTTATTGGGAAGGCCTCTATGAGTTCTGCATTAATATGATATGATTCCAAGTTTTTAAAAGGTAATTTATGTCTCTTTGCTGGAGTACAACAAGTAACAGGGAGCATTTTGTTTCAAGGTTTCACGGTGCATTTGATGATACAGAAAGCTTTCTGCTAGCAGCGAACCTGATCCCTGCTGCCCTGAGCCAGATCCCTGGAGAGAGAGTGAGGGGGCAGTTGGACTGACAGACTAAAAACAATACTCCCTCTTCAGGCGGGAAGGCCAGGGAGGAGGAGGGAGCTGGAGGAAACTGGCTGCTCTCTCTGGTGATTGTGCCCAGGCCTGATAAGACGAGATGTTTCCTCTGGCTTCCCCAGCATGGCTCCATTCTGCATTGTGTAGATGGAGGAGATTTATAATTGGAATGAGTATTCTTAGGGTTGGGGGTTCTGTCTGGGGAAGCCACTCGGGACGCTTATGAAGGGACGGAAACGGGACGGAGGAACAGGGAGAGGGGGTATACAAAGGAATCTGTATGAACTGTTGACACCAGGCTATCCAGCTGCAGCTGGACCGCAGCCACTGCTTTTCCTTTTCATATGCATCAAAACATCCTTTTAGCAAAGGAGAAATACATGTAACAAGGGAACTCCCCATCTTTAGTTGAAATCACCCATTACAAATATAATGGACCATTTAAACTCAGCTCATTGCTTTTTAATAGCCAGTGAAGTAAGCAAAGACCTAATGCCTCTGAAAAATCCCAAATGAAACCAGTAGTCCGGGGGTATCCAGTCTTACCAAAAAAGGGCCAAACCAGCATTTTCATTCCAAATCAGCAGCAGCACACCTGACTTGTTTATCAGTTTGTCTCAATCTTCAAACAATTGGTCATGTGTGCTGACACTTTGCTGGAATGAAAACCTGCAGGCATGCTAGCCCTTTGTGGATAAGACTGGACAACCCTGCAGTAGTCCTTTGTCCGTTTAGTTTCATAGAATGTTTTAGAGTGTTTGTCATAATTAGAAGAAAGCCCTCTCTGGAAATTCAAAGCATGCTTTGTTCTTTCTGGTGCTTTAGGCTACAGAAGGACCAATAAGATGTTTCTAAAGTGATGCACACTTTCAAGACACTTACTAGTTTAATGGCTTACTCTACTGTGGTGCGAAAAACGTCATAGTATACTGGAAACCAGTTGAAGTATTCTTGCATCCAATCTAGAGAATAGTGTAAATCAGTGGCCAACTCTGGTCCTTGGGATTTACCTTGCAGTGTACCTACTCCAGCTAATTAAGAACTTCAGAAGTCCCTGATTGGCTGGATCAGATTCATTAGTGTATAGCAGTGATTCCCATCCCTGGTCCTGGAGTACTCCCTGCCCTGCACATTTTAGTGTTTTCCCTGCTCCCAACACACCTGATTCAACTTATCAGCTAATGAACAAGCACTTCCTGAGCTGAAGTGTTTAAGTTGGGAACCTGTGGTGTAAAGTAAGAGGTGGGTTGGATGTAGTTGGATCTAAACTCTACAGCAGGAGTGTCCAGTCCTGGTCCTGGAGATCTAACACCCTGGAGAGTTCAGATCCAGCACTCCTGGATCTAACATTCAGATGCCCCTGAAAGCCTTTATTACCTCGATCATATGTGTTAGATTAGGGTTGAAGCTAAACTCTTCAGGGTGGTACATCTCCAGGACCAGGACTGAGCACCCCTGCTATACAGGAAAACAAAACTCCAGGAGGAGGGTTGGTGACCATCGGAGTAAATGCTAAGATTCAGGGAAGCAGCTGAAGGTAACTGTACAAGTTCTTAAAATGACTGGTGAGCACTCTTTAAAATAAAGGCTTTACACTTAATACTATGTATTATAAGTTATATAAAAAGGTTCTTTTAAACCAGTCCTCAGGAGGGACCCCCCAAAGAGTCCAGATCCAACTTAACTTTCAGTACATACATATATGTTACCATTTCCTTTTCAGAGTACAGTGGTGACGTCACTTCTGTTAATCAGACTGTTTTACAAGATTCTTTCTTTCTTCTGTTTCCCTCTTTTCCCCTCTCACCCCCCTCTCGCTCTCTTTGTTCATCTACTAGCGGAGAAGGTGACTTCTCTGGGGAAGGATTGGCACAAGTTCTGCCTCAAGTGTGAGCGCTGCAACAAGACCCTGACAGCAGGTGGCCATGCTGAGGTGAGTGTGAATGGGGTAGTAATGAGTCAGGCTGCAGCAAACAGTTATTTCTATAACTGATTAATCTCTCTCAACTCTTATTTAATTAATCGGCTAAATGAACCAGTTTCCTTTCACTTTGACTCCATTGCAGCTGTTCAAAGTTCTGTATGTGCTGCACCATCATGATATTGTGATGCAAAAAGGTGACAGTACATTGTGAAGTACACACCAAAGTATACAACAACAACAGCAACTCTGTCCAGCATGTTCATTTGTGAGCTGTACAACAATATGAAAACAGTCACCAGCAGATTTCTTTATTCAAATTTTGTTCAATATATTGTGAGAATATACAGTCTTGAACCCACTATTTAGAATTGTTTAGAATTGTGGACTGAGGGCATCATTACACTATATATATCTTTTTATGTTACAACAAAATAAAATAAACAAAATAAAAGGCATAATGTCCCAACAATACATGTAGTGTATTGTAGATTTTGAATGACTTTATGTAGTATATGAACATTGTAAGATACTTTTATTTTTACTTGACAGGTGAACTGTTTTACATTATCAGCATCATGAAAACAACTAATCATTTTATCAACTAATCACTGCAGCCCAACAATGAGTGTGGACACTGTGAAGGAGCACATTCATGAGCTTGTTTGAGCACATACCCCCATCTTTTTGCAGGCTAGCAGAGAGAGCTACATATTGACTTTCTGACACTTTGCGTTTGCATCAGATGCTCAGTTAGCTGTTCCATTCGAAGAAACTAACACTGGCCTTCAGTGCCCCAGGCGAATGGTGTGTGGCGTTGTGTGTGGGGTGTTGGGCAGCACTGTGCTCAGCTCGACTCGGATCTTCCATTTAGTTTCACTTAGCAGGCAGAAATACATTCAAACGAGGATCTTCAGTGAGGCAACACTATATAAGGACTAATTAAATGAATAAAGGCCACAACAAAAAGAATGCAGTCAAACTACCTTGACTGTGAGACTTAGTCATGCTATTTAATTGTAGTGCATCATGCAGAGGCCTTTTCTTTCTTTCCTTCTGCAGTTAGCTGAGAGACTGCTGCACTTTAATTAAGCATTTAAACGATCCCCAGAGGATAGTCTGCTGTGATTGGCTAGGATTCTTATGCTGTCAGGGCCTTCCTGTTTTCATGCCTCTACACTAATGAAATTCCTCTTGCTCCTCATAATCCAACATCTTGAGACATCACAGTCTACATTGTCTCCACAGCTGTGACTATGCCATTTTTGTACCAAATTCATAAAATATTGATTGTCTACTTCATTGTCATACAGAACATGGAAATCCTTTGTCACTCAGCCTACTCAGTCTGCTAATGCACAGTTTACTGTCAATTATCAAACTGTAGCTTCATGAAAAGGAGTCATATAAAACACAGCAGAGGTGCACAGAAATGTCTAGCTTTTATAATTGTAAATCTTATTAGCTGGCCTCCCTGAGTTACACTGTTTCATAGTAGCTGCCAGCTCTTTTCAAATTCTGTCTGAATTTGATGATGCCAGATGTTAACCACATCTTCTTGTACGTCGTACTTCTGCTGCGGCTTCCGGTCTTGCACCGGCTTTGATGTGAGATGCCAAACATTCTCAATAGGGTTGAGGTTTGGTGGACTGCAAAAAAGCCATTAATAATACCACAGGTGTACAATAGTTTTTACAGGAGTGTAGATCTAAGCTAGTAACAGGAGGATGTGATGATTCACAGGCACCAAGGGAGAAATAAGTCCCATTTCAATCAACAACAGAGGCTCCAGGCATAATGATTACTGCCTTGTGAACCCCAAAATGTCCTCTTGTTTTTTTCATTAGACTCCCAGGACCTTGCTAAGTGCAGGAAGTATCTGACCTTTGCATTTACTACAGGAAAGAGGGCCTTTGTCATCCCTGATTGGAAGTTGGTGTGCAATTGTAATCTCTGGATGGGGATTTATACGTACCCTCGACTGACATCACCACCAAATCTGGATGTAGGTCATGGTTGCTATGGTGAGGGCATGGCCTCTGTTAAGGCTGTACTTTGTTCTCATGGATATAAAGTCAGGTTTACAAATCATGAGGGTGAGATGTGTGTTTTTCACCTTGAAAGCTGTCACTGAACTAATCACTGATAGTGATGTAGTTATCTGAAATAGCAAGGTTAGTGCACTAAGGTCCAGAGGTGTGTTTCTGTTTAGTGGCTGAAACCCAGCATGGCTCCCTGTGGACATGCTCTGTGGGATATGTTCATGAATGATGGCAGATGGTCTTCCAGAAATTACTTGACAGTACTCTGTTTTAACACAGAAAGATTAATCGTCAGTCAGGTGTCCTCCTCCTGGTGGACCTATAAGGGGTTCAGTAGTTGGCGTCTGAGAGACTGTAGAGACTCAAATATCAGGTTGTGGGACCTAAAGTTTTTAAGAAATGAGTGGGCTGGGGATGCTAGACCATCTCCCTGGTTTCTTCAGGGAAAGAAGCCTGGCCATGCTGCTGCAGTGAAATGGGAGCTGATGGGGGGTTGTTGAGAGCTGTCACCAGTTCTATGAATCCCTGCCTGCAGTGGTAATCTGGAAAAGCCATCTTTCTTGTTTTCCCATTTGTTTGAAATGTAGCTACTTTTGCCCACCTTAGAAAAGGCCTTCTGAGTTTTAATTACATCACCATGCACCAGCGAGCAGGGAAAATATTATCCAGTAATATCACCTGCCACTCCCATAACTCCCACTTATCATTGAGCAAAATGTGTAGCTAACTCGAGACCCTCCCTGATACCACGTTTCACTCAGAAATGCGTCACAGTACGAAAGGAAAATACATTCGGATTTCTGATTCACACTGACCTTCAGGAGCTAACAATTCAGAAAACCAATAATATTGGTCGACATAACTTTATATGGTCAAAACCTACACAGACTCCAGTAGTTTTAGTTAAAAGGTGATTTACTGCATATGACTATGACTTATTAAATATGATTGAGAGATTTCTTAAAATTAAATAAGCAACACATCTTAAAATATGAAAATGAAACAAGGCACAAATGACCTCATGTTTAGCATGCAAAAAATTCTCCACAAGGGTGCGCTATTAACACTCAAATTTAGAGTTTGGTGTTTCATAAAAGCAGTGCTTTGCATCAGTTATACTATGTGTCATTGGTTTTAAACAGGATCACGTTTCTAAATGTTTTTCTTGGGTAAGATTAAAGAAATATTATTGGTGCTTTATCAATTGGATTTCCACTGATGATTACAAAATCCATAGATTAATGTCAGCAGAATTTATGTATGATATATTATCAGGACCCTATATTAATGTCAATATTACAGTCATACTCTGAAGAGATAAGCTTCTGCTCATTTCCTTTTTTAGCAGGCTTGATAATGTAAGAACCGGTCTTGGCCACTTGACATGTTGTGATGGTGTCTGGCTTGAGGGCCTTTGTGCCATTACCCGGTTTTTCCCCCAGCATAGCTTTGTTGGCACAGGGCCACTGGTGCTGACCCTGTCAGTGACTTTACCCACAACTGCCTGTTCCCATGACAACCTCACCCCAGTGTGCCTCTGACTATTCTATTAAAGTCTGATACAAAAGTGAACAAAAGTGAATGTTATCCATATTCCACTCATACATACACACCTGTCTGCAGACAGTAGTTTATGAATCAACAGAGACTGTTTCCTGGTAACCGCTGTCAGTGTTATCCGGAAAAGAGAGCAGGTGCCAAGGGATAACAAGCCTTTCTTTGGCTTTTAGACTCAAGTGGATTAGTTCGGGAAGGACTGTGTACAAGCATCAGCTTAAAATGGAAAGCGAGCATCTAGCCAAATTAAAGCCACCACGGACGAAGCAGTGAGAATACAAACACACACAACTGGATTAAGGTTTTCAGATTCAATCACACTCGTAATGGATGGAGGTATAAAGGGGTGGGGGAGCACTGTAAGGTATAAACAGTTGCCAATTTTTTCTCATTCATGTCTTCCTCACATTCTTCCCCATCTTTCTCACAGCATGACGGGAAGCCTTACTGTCACAAGCCGTGCTATGCTGCCCTCTTTGGGCCAAAAGGTGAGAACAGACTTCATGTTTATGAGTGAAAGTTTGTACTGCCACACTTTACTACAAAGTTTAGAGTTTAAAAAAAAAAATGAAATGCTGATAAATGCTAATAAAAACAGAAAGCAATGATTAGCACATTCTGCTGATTATTAATAATAATCCTCAGTAATATATTATGAGCTGTATTAATCTGAAAACAGCACAATTATTACAACAGAAGAATATTTTTGTCATTATTATTATTATTATTACTATTATTACTTGATTACTTTTGTTCTATATGCAGTTAGTACATGGTTATCTGCTGAGAGTTGCTAATCCTATACAAGCGAACCTTATCGTGATGTGTAAATGACATCATTTTACTTGTAGGCTTGTGAGAGTGTACAAACTTCAAGTCCATAAAAGTCAGGACAGTATGTGAAATGTTAATAAAAACAGAAAGAAACGATTATTAACTTCTTTTTGACCTGTATTAAATTGAAGAAGTATAAAACACAATATTTTATGTTTTGTCTTAAGAACTATATTGTTTCTTTTGTTTTATAAATATACAAAACTTTGATTCCTGCAACATGTTTCAAAAAATCTGGGACATCCCCTTTCCTTTTTCCTTTTAACGTTTGGGGACTGAAGGCACCAACTGATCGATATAATTTTTTGACATTATTCAGTTCTAAGTCTTCACTTGCGCAGCTGCACAGGGTCCTTATTGTCATGTTTTGCACTTCATAATGTGCAGCATATTTCAAAGGGAGACTGGTCTGGACTACAGGCAGGGCAGTCTAGCACCCACACTCTCTGATTACGCAGCCATGCTGTGGTAACATGCAGAAAGTGGCTTGGTGATGTCTTGTTGAAAGAAGCGTGGACGTCCCTGAAAAAGTCAGCTTAGGCTGCTCCAAGCTTATGTTGCTCCAAAATGTGCATATATCGTTCAGCATTAATGATGCCTTCACAGATGTGCTTCACTAATATGCTTCCAAACCAGACAGAACCTCACTCTGAACTTTATGCTGGTAATAATCTGGGTGGTTGTTTGTTATCTTCTTTGGCCCAGAAAACAACATCCATTTTTTTCCATAAACATGTTGAAAGGTTGACTTGTCAGATCACAATACACATTTCTGCTGTGCATAAGTCTATTTTATTAGCTGGAGCTCAGAGAAATCATGGTATTTCTGGAGGGTGCTGACAAGTATATTCCGCTGTGTGTAGTACAGTCTTAACTTGCAGTGACAAACAACATGTTGTCAAAGTATTCCTGAGCCCATGCGATTTTGTAAAATCATCAAAAGATCTCTGAAAAACTGACTGAGAAATACCTAAAATCTTTGCTATCACTCGTTGAGGAATATTGTTCTTCATGTGTTCGATGACTTGCTGATACATTGTTTGGCAAAGTGGTGAGCCTCAACTAGGACTAGGCCCTTTCTGGATGCTCCTTTTATACCCAAGTATGATAGCATCACCTGTTTTTTTTTGTTTGTTTGTTTGTTTTTTTTTTCACATGATCCTTGTGTTCCTAGTGTTAGATTGCCCCTGTCCCAACCTTTTTTGAATGTGTTGCAGGCATCAATTTCAGAATGATCATATATTTACAAAAATTACAATGAAGTTGATAAGGTGAAATATAAAATAACTAGTGTTTCTACTGTTTCCATTTAAATACTGGTCAAAGTGGAGTTACAAATCACTGCTTTTTGTTTTTATTTGTATTCCACACACTGTCCCAAATTCTTTTTTTAATTGAAGTTTGTACCTTGTGATTATATTTGATAATACCGAATTCAAGACCAATGGAAGACCATCATCACCAAATGAGTGTACATAGAGACTTTCTCTTTTTGGGCATACATACTGTGAATAATCAGTAAACAGTAAGAGCCTATGCCTCACCATACTATATCTTGAAAGCCATTATAACTGCCAATAAAAAATAGGTCAGATAAACGAAGGGAAACTAAAATGAATTAATTTAATTCAAACTGATGTGCACAGTTCATGCTAGTTCATGCATGTAATTTCCTGTAAATGAAAAGAAATTGATTGCTCTTATTGTGTTCCCATATTAAGGAGGGCTCCCTGCTGGGCAATAGAGAAGGCATGGTAAAAATGAACAAAAATGATGAGTAGTGAAGACTATTTGAATTTAAATTTCACCAGAACAAGTACAGTTCGTGTTATATTTTAAACACTGTACTTGTTATGAGGCTTGGACTCAACTAGAAAGATAATTACTTTAAAACACATATATTCCTGAGTGGTCATGTCATGACTTTGGTATTTGCTTCTTCCGCAGGTGTTAACATTGGGGGAGCAGGATCCTATGTGTATGAGACCCCTGTCAGTAACAACCCACCTCCAGCCACCTCCGTGGACTCAGCATCCAAACCTGAAGAGAAGAGGATCCCAGCAACCAGCAAGCCACCGTCTAAAGGTACCCTCAACTACACCTACACCAGACCTGGCAGAGGGATTATTTAGGCTAGGGTGCAAAAAATTACAGGGGGGGCACAACTACATTCACCCAATGAATGGCTGTTATACAGGCTTATCTGTTTTTACAACCAGTCAATGCACAACAGCTGTCTTTCGTCAAGCATATGCATTTTGGCATTTATCAGACACTCTTATCCAGATTGACTTACAAAAGTGCTTTGTTGTCTATTCCACTCAGAGAATGTATCTTTAGCTACTATAAATAGGTTCAAATGTTAGTCCAAATAGGTTTGAGTACATTTTGTAGATGTTCTACAGAGAACACATTTCTGCTAATTTTAATACACAATGAAATTAAATTAAATTTAATTTAACATTTTGGAAAAAAAATATGAAATATAAAATGTGGCCTGTGCAAAAGTTATAGTACATTATATATTTTAGGTTTATTATTCCCAAAATATTAAACTCAGCAAATATGTATTTAAAATTATGCATATGAAATTATGCATTAAATTGGCAGAAAAATGTAATATTTGAGTTGTGTTTGTTCTATGTAGAGGATGTGTTAACTTATTTTTACTTAGAAAATCAACAAAACATGTAATTTGACCAGGGATGTTCAACCTTTTGCATAAGACTATACCCTTAAGCTAACATATGGCCAGAAACAAGAGTCAGTGCTGATACCTAAAATGGAAGATACACAATATAAAATGAAGAAATATCATTGTGCAAATACAAGACATTTTAAAAAGTACAAGCAATGTATTGCATTATTATTATAGCTATATTATATTATAGCTATATTATAACCTACTAACCAAATACTTGAAGTAAAATATTAACTAAACAGCAGCATACCACCTGCACTAGTATTTCCAATCCAAGTTTTAAACTCTTGTGAAAAGCAAACAAAATACATATTTACAATGGCAACACTGATTTTAAATCTCAGTGTTATGTTCTTATCCAGATCCATAAAAATATAATTGTGATGAAAAGCCAATATGTCAAGAGTAAACATGTCAATATGCCAACAGTCAACCAAACTGAAAACAGTAGCGCACAGATATATTTGATTGGCTCATGTGATATTACGGGTCACAGGTCTGCTCATCTGGGAAATCCAAGTCATTGCTGTGAATTGCACCTTGCAGGACAAAAAAGGAATGCAAAGCTGAGGGGGCACTGAGGTTCACTGTAGAATCTTAAGCAGTGATATTGCTACTAATGAACTTGCGCCTGTTGGCTGAGTTGAACTAAGAAAGTCAAAGCTGGTGGTTTTCTCAGTGAAAAGGCCAAGAACCTCAAAGCAGCTCACTCTGGGGACCCTGAGGCCAGTCATTCCAGCTTTTCCCACACTGCAGGCCAGAAGCCACACATCCTGAACACTGTTATTCTTCATTACGCAAAGCCCAGCAAAAACAGCAAGACAGGGTCAGTTGTCTGAGTGTGTGACTATGCGCACTGGCTCAAATGTGTTTTTCTCATTTCAGCTGGAAGCATCACCACCTTTTCTGGAGAGGCCAGCATGTGCCCCAGATGTAACAAGAAGGTCTACTTCGGTAGGTATCTGCTTGAACTTGGTAACATATGACATAGCTCGTGATAACAGAAAGCTTAACAATGCTTCATTTCCTTGTGGCAGCCGAGAAGGTGACGTCTCTGGGTAAAGACTGGCATCGGCCCTGTCTGCGCTGTGAGAGGTGCAGCAAGACTCTGGCAGCAGGCAGTCATGCAGAGGTGAGGGAACGAGATCAAAGACTCAGCAGCTGAAATGACAGTGTAATTACAGTTCTGCACCTTTCACTCAGAATAAGGATGAGCGGAAAGGTTGTATGCAGCGACTATCTTCAATGCATGGATAGAAACTTTGGATCTTGGAGCAAAATCGAGACTTACAAACAGAAACTGTACTCATCAAAAACAGTCATGTGCAAAAGTTTGAACACCCCTGGTGCAGATGTGTATTTTCTGGAGAGGATGTGGTAACTTATTTTCACTTAGAAAATCAACAAAAAATATCATTTGACCAGGGTGCCCAAACTTTTGCATATGACTGTAAGAAATATACAAAAGTCACTAAAGACATTAGAATAGTGTATAGATAAAGTCAATGATTTGGATGTACTATTACAGATATGTATGTGTTATTACTATTTAAACAATACTCACTATAACTATACAGTAACACCTGCAGATGTACCACTGACAGTAAGGTATCAGTGCAGTGTAATTTTCACAGGTTACATAAAGTTTGTTTTACAAAACCATTATTTAATAAATCATTTCATTAATTTATTTTAAATGTTTAGTTTAAATGACCATTTCAATTCTTCATAAAAAAAATCTTTCACTTTAAAGCTTTGTTTTTGTGTAAGATGTTCACATATTCTGATGACATGTTTTTGTTTCTATGTTTTGACAGCATGATGGCCAGCCCTACTGTCATAAACCATGCTATGCTGTGCTCTTTGGGCCAAAAGGTACAAAACATGTTTAACCTCTAAGGGGTGCTGTTGTTCAATTCAATAATGCTGCCATCAGCTTGCAGATTTTTAATGTATTATAATTAAGGTTGTACTGGTCATGAATATTTATGTATGATTCCTATTTCTCTACAGCCAACACACTAGCACATTTCCAATACTTTCTATCAGCCAAAGTTGCAATATAAATATGATTTACTCTTACTTTTTACTTTAATGAGCCAAACTGGCAATCTTTAACAAAAAAATCAGTTGCCCATTTAAATAACATGAGTCAAATAAAATGCTGCACCAAATTAAGAGGCAACTGGCTATTAAACACCTTCAGTTATTGTTATTCATAATTATACTTATTACTTATTATACATATGTCATGAAGGTGCACGTTTATCAGCAGCATTCAAATACAGCATGAGTGAACTTACCTGCCTCAGGATATTTACATCATAAAATTGCCACACAGATTGGTTAAAATAAGCATTGATTGCCAAATGCATGTTTGGAACTGATTTCAATCTTAGCTGATTATGATCGTGTATCCCTAATTGTGATAATCAATACACCTATAGTATATAATCTTGATAAGAAGCAAATATTTTCCTATAACTTCCTATAACCAACTTGTTTACTGTGTTGTATGTTCATAGTCATAATGCACAGTCTGTTCTTCTCTGTACATCATTTGTTCTACTTTCAAAGTCTAAATGTGTGTGGAAGGTCGTTGTTTGAAGGGATTGCTCCATTATTGTGCTTTCAGGAGTGAACACAGGTGGTGTCGGCAGCTACATCTATGACAAGGAGCCCAACACAGAGGCCCAGCCATAAACCTGCATCTTCGCAACCTCTCTACTCTACAATCACAAACCTCCACTACAAACACAGCCACTACCATCAGCTCACACATGCTCATACACACCCCACACACCCCAACCTCCAGCCATGCCTACTGAAACCAGTGCCAACGTGGATCTCTCTGCAAAAGTGATGCCACATACTGCAACCTTTTCTTATTTTACTACTTTACCCTTTTTTTACTATGCCTGATCACTTAGTTTTGAGTGAAACAGTCCTGCTCCTGCACTCTAATGGCACAGTCTGCAGTGTGCCAACGGCATGTGACGCAAGAACTTGCCTACAAGAAGTCATTAATCTGACCACCTTGTCACCTACTCTGTCTGTTACGTTTTCTATAAGTTTATATACACTATATGTCCAAAACTTTTCAGACACCCCTCCTCATAAGTACGTTTAACTACTTTAAGGTGTACCCATTGCTGACACAGATGTTCAGCTGCACTCACATGTGTATAATATCAATAGAAAAGCATTGCCAATAGAATACTCTGGAGCAGCCACACATGAGCCTAATGTCACCTTGTCCAAATTCAAGCATCAGCTAGAGGGGTATAAAAAAACTCTTCAACAGTGGGCTGTAGGCAGTGGCACTGTGGTTTGTGGAGTGATGGAGCACCATACAATACTTTTGGGATGAGTTGGAGTGCAGTTTGAGATCCATAACTAATCATTCAACATTAGTACCTGACCTCACCAATGCTCTTGTTGCTGATTGCAATTGAATCCTCACAGCAGTTTTACTCTTTCAGAGGAGTAGAAGCTGTTACTGCAATAAAGGGAAGACAAGCTCCTTGTTAATACCCTTGATTGCAGATGTCTACAAACATTTGGACATAAAGTGTATGTCTTCTTAAAGGTAAAGCAATAGTTTGGTGAAAAATGAAACTTCCACTTGCATTAAATGCAGTGCATTAGCCAAGAAAAGTTTTGTGTCCGAGGTTTGCTTGTGTAGTTTTGCACTGAAGCTACAAGATTAAATGGTAGATATTAGTGAAACTACAAGGCTAAATGGTAGATATTAGTGAAACTGCAAGGCTAAATGGTAGATATTAGCTTCTATTGCATTGTTAGCTATGTTATCCTCCGGTGCAAGCTAAAGAAGCTAACTTCAGACACCAAACATTGTGTAAATTAGATTTTTTATCAAAATATTGCTTTAAAGTAGTGCTAGATCTCAGCTTCTTCCAATATAAAACAATAGGGCCTGGCCACTTTACACCTTTGTCTACATTGCATTGATATCAGCTAAATATAACAAAGACAAAAGTTCTAAGGGAGCTTTTTTTCAGATGTGGTGGAGCCGGGTTGTTTTAATGGTCTGCTGACATGCAGATCAATCTCACCTCAGAGCCTCCTCACACAGGTGCAGCACAGGAGCACTTTGCCATAAATCTATGAGATATTCACCAACCAAGATTTGCTCTTTGGCTGCCTAACAGCATTCCTAAGTCAAAGTATTTTAGCTTTAGTTTAAAATTTACACCGACAGTAAAGACTCTTATTTTAAGAGGGTGCAGACTCCTGTATATGTTAAAGCTCACAGCGTGTTGAGAGGTACAGAGGGCTTTGTGATAGGTGCCTACTGATTGAGTAGCTGAGACAACTATTTATGGGGCTGTTTTCGAACATTGGCCTAAGATCAAGGAGTAAAAGAAACGAATAAGCTGTTCAGTGAATTGTGTGGTCTGAATATTAGAGAACTGCCCGCATATCTCCTTGTGATGAAACTACATACATTTGCAAGTAGAAAGTAGCTGATAGAAACCTTTAAGTTAAACTTTAATGACAATACGTTCTTATGGAATGTGCATTAGTACTCAATGACTGTTATTGCCATGATATTTGTTCGCTGTAGTAGGGTTGTATATTTCTAAGGACTAACTGTTCCTTGATCATAGACAGCCCACACTTAAGTCCTGCTGCTTGTGTCTTTTTAATCCCATATTAAAGTTTATGTATGGCTCTTCCGTGCACTGCTCATCTATTTAGAATATATTTTTTTACCACTACTTTTATGTGAATGTCATTTGGATAAGGAATACATTTACCAGCCACTGTATTAGGTAGTTATTTTTTTTGTTAGCTACTTTGTATGTACACTCCTTGTCCATTTTCAGGTTCACTTGCTTAGGAGCATTCTGTAGTGAAATTATAGATAAATCTGTTTCTCTACATAATTTATTAGCCTTTCTTTACTCTCTTCATCAGTCTTCGCAATTGAGCAGGTAATATTTGAGTGGTGGAAAAACTCAGCACAAGTGTGCCAACCAAAACTATCTAGCGAACAGAAGCCTGTGACCAAAAATTGACCACTGATGAAGGGCTAGAGGATGGATAACATAAACTGTGCAGTGACAGATGAACTATTGTCTCCAACACTGCATCTATAAGGTGGACTGAAAAAGTAGGTGTGTCCACAGTAAGTGGACACAGTGTTTAAAAACTCCAGCAACACTGCTGTTTCTGATCCACTCGTACCAACATAACACACTAACACACACACACCACTACCATGTCAGTGTCGCTGCAGTGCTGAGAATGATCCACCACCCAAATATCTGAATCATGTCCTGTGGGGGTCCTGACCATTGTCGTAACCAGAATCTTACGGGTACCCATGCAAAAAAAAAGGGACCCACAGTGAATAAAAAAAAAAAACAATGTAATTTGCTTATTGTTCTGTATCAATCAAGTTGATTCTTTCAAGGCATGCTACTCCACCCATTAGCATCTAATGTTAACCTAGAGGTTTATGTTAAACTCTTTATTTGGGTTGCAATAATTATATGTCATATTTAGCTGTCTGTCACACCACCGGCCAAATAAGAATGTTACATAGATTTCCAAGAGCTCTTGCTGTGCGACATACAAATTTTGATCTATTACCTGAATGGATTGATTTGATCTTTTAAGATTTCTGAGTTAGAACCCGTAAGTGTATCATGCAGGTTGTACAGGATCTGTTTGAAAATGCTTCCATAGACAAGATGCATTATGAATAAAAGGAAAATAAATAGACAACAGGGTTGTCTGTCTAGTGTTGATGGAAGTTCACTGATGAGATATGCTGTTAAGAAACAAACTTCGTGTGAATCATGGGTGTCAGTATCTATATAAGGGGCTCAATGAAGATTTTTGGGGGCCCAGTCAGGATAGCGGCCCTAGTATTTAAACAACTGCTCCTGACCATTGATGATAAAATGGGGCTAACAAACTATGCAGAGAAGCAAACACAATCTGTGACTAGAACTGCAAAATGCACCTATATGGTTTTTGGCTTGAGACAATGGACAAAGAATGTAGCTAACATGTGTTTCTAATAAAGTGGCTAGTGAGAGTCATTAATGGGAGAAAAAGCAAAAAGGAATTGTATAACAAAATGTAAAAAATCAAAACATGTCATTTGACCAGGATACCCAAACTTTTGAAGACAACTATATCCCACAATGACATTTTTAACCATGCAGCTATTGTGAGAGTTTCTTATAGCAAAGCAAACTATAAATGAATTAGATAGCTAGAGGGCATTACCTTCATGAACTATGAGAATTATAATGAGTGTTTCTGTTGCTCTTTCTGTTTATACTGTATTTCAGAATTAGACTGTATCATTAGTGAAGCACCCAAACGCCCACCCCAAAAGTTTTGACAACTGTGTTTCTGATGCTGTACTATGTGCAAGTTAATAATAAATGTTTCCTGTCACGTGTTCTGCTGTTGACAGCAGCACCTTGATCACAGCAGGCTGACTGTTAGACCTTTCCTCCACCACACCCTGCTGTTAACTCAAAGCCAAGGCCACCTCCATCACACTCCCACAACCACAACACTCCCTCCAGAACTGGAGCTGAGCAGAAGCTGAATGTTTGCCCTTCGATTACCACACATTTACAGATTACTTTTCATAGGCCCTCAGCCATGACAGCCTGGGAAACACGCCACCTTCACATGAAGTAAAATCCAACTGATCTAGCCATTATATACTGGCTAATTGCAATTGTACCAAAGATGCCTTCTTTCTGTTGTCACTGTGATGGATTTGGTGTGAGGTAAACGCGTCTGCGGAGTTCATAAAGCAGCTTTTTGATAATAGGCCTTAAAAGAAAATGCTTTGAGATGTACGAAGGAAGAGCACATATTTCAGCAGTCAAACAGGGGGCTGACTGCAAATGTCATTCAAATTTGCATAGAAACAGGAATAAAACACGCACGCCCTGTTTCCATTGGAAGGTAATGCAATATGCAGTGGAGTTTCACTCTGACCTCATAAAACCTGAAGCAATTATTGAGTTTCTATTTGCATACATAGAGAACTGATAACGTTACATAGCTCTTTTTAAGCACATGCACACACACAGACTGTAAATGCTCTTAAATGTGAAAAACAAAAGTGAAACAAGTTGAGCACAGAACATTCTGCATATATCTGTTATATAACAAGCTGCTTCTTTTAAAAGAGTTCTTCATGTGCTATCTCATAGGAATTATGCAACTAATGTCATCATATTACGTGATATGAAACTATTCACTAGGGATGCATCACTATGGGAATGTGGGGCATGATATCGATACCTGATATTTTTCATGCATGTACAGTCGTCAAATCACATTTGGTTGATTTTTTTAAGTGAATACAACACATCCTCTACAGAGAACACACTTCTGCACATTTTGATGCAAAATTAATATTCATTCAGTTCAACTGGGGCTAACTCCACCTGGATTATAATATGGAAAAATAAAACATACATTTCATTATGGTTACAAATACAGTAAAATGAATATAACAGTTATTTTAGCACAGTAGTCCAGTGTCCCCTAAACATTCTGCTCTTCAATAAGTACAATACATGCATCATTAGATAACTGTTTGAAATACTGTCCAAATCTAAACATCTGTCCTTTGCTAATCATTTTTAGGCAATTACTTACCAGTACCAATTCTGATATCATTGGTTATGATATAATTCTGATATCAATGTTCATCCCTACTGTTCATCCCTACAGTTCTTCCAAATATGGCACAATCCCAAAGCTATGAAAAAAAATGCAGTCTGTAACTCCACTGGACATTCTCTCATCCTACCCCACCCAAGGAAGTAAGCTGTTTCCTGGATACACAACTTTCCAATTACATCTGCTGCAAAATCAGAGAAGTCCCAGCACTGAGCACTTCTTGTTCTTATTACACACTTCTTACTAACAAAACACAGTAGTCCTGACCTCAGACAGACACACACAAATCTGTAGTAGTCCCTTGATGGTGGCTGCCAAATAAAATACGGCCTGCCAGATAAAGCGCTCTCAGTACTGAGACCTTAACAGTGAAGGAACACAAACATATAGCAGAGACCAGCGGGAAAGGGCAAAACCCAAGTAGAGGGACAAAAATGCCCCAGAAAAAAATGTGTTATAAATGTAACAAATCAATGTGAATGCATGTCACTATCACTAATAAACCAGCTAACACTACATCCATCACTTTGGCCTTACTGATCTCGACCTGGCAGTGTGAACATGCTTACAGAGTGGACCACTACATTTCACGAGAAGCTGCTGTAAACAATGTTATCTCAATCCAAGAGAATTCACCACCACCAATTTTTCCCATTTCAAAAGAATCAACAATGGCCCTTAATGATCAAAGCTGTGAATGGTCAAATCTAAACTTGAGCACACACAAATTTCACTGGCAGTCATCAATTTCATCTTGCATCTGGTAGAAGTGTGTATATTCGAGTGCAACTGGTAAAATGCAAACTGAAAAATGCCTGATTTGTGGTTAACTAACCAAAACTGTTATCAAAATCATATATAATACCAATAATAAGAAGAAAAATAGAAAATAACAATAATACTAATCATAATTTTTCTAAATGGCCATGCAGTTCAAAAATGGATGCACTTATTTTTCATGTACATTGATATAAACAAATATTCAATGTTCCAGTGAAAAACAGATTACCCTGATTTTTTATTTTATAGTACTAACACTGCCAAAAAAATAAAAACACAGCCAGTGCAGATGCTTATCATACACTGTAATAATATAGTATTTAAATGTGTTATTTTAGGAAAATACACTACACAATGATATCATTCTACCATCTTAAAAAAGTCAATTTGTTTATTTTTAACTTTATTTTCTCCAGTGATTGCAATTTTAACACTATAAAGTTCACTTTCTACGAGCACAGTCATTGGATCATGAGCTGTTGAATTCTATAGTGTTAATGGCTCCCTACCAAAACATCAGCATGAATAAAGGTGTGTTTCAGGTAAATGATATGTAAATGAGGTTCTGCTAGGCTGTGCTTGATTTCATGCACTGAAGCGGATTCATGATTTGCGCTCATATCTCCGCTTTTTTCCACATCGAACGAAAGTTTCATGTGTAATTCTCAGTTAGGGAGCACAAAAATTGCTGCTTAAAATAAATGATACATCTCAGAAACCTAAAGTAAAAGTATTAAGCCCAGTACTTTACCCTTGTAGTTGCAAAGCCCTTACATTTATCTATATAATACATTTTAAAGGAGAAATAAAAATGCTCTTTCCATTTATTTTTCTTTTCCTCTGGAACACCGTCTGCAGCAAGTGTGGCTTCTCTCAATCACACCCTACAGTCACATTTGTGCAGTCTTATTCTCCAAATAGAAATAACAAAATCTTCCACTGGAGCAAAAATCATAGATTCGTCTACCAGATGGCTAACTCTTTTAACAAAGTGGCTATGCTATGTGGGGTCTGAATGGGTCACTAAGTTTCGGGGCCAAACTCAGAGCACCCATTACATCATCTTGGCCTTCGGTCAGCTTTCCTTTGTTTTTTCCACTGATAAACCAAATCTCTTTTTATAGAACATGTGCACAATGCTTCGTTAAAGTTAATTCTTAACTCCTTGCACACTTGGCTTATTACTCATTTATTAATCTTTAGATTTATTATTCAGTAACCGTTAGGGCTACGCCAATCATTAATTTTCTGATTTCTTTACAGGTAAACTGGCCAATGGGTGATTTTTTTTTATCTGATTTTTATAACCATTTTTTTAAACAACAGAAAACAAAGACAATAACATTTTTATTTGCTTTTTACTTGAAGGTAGCACTTTTCAAGCAAATGAGCTCACTGATATGAAACACAAAGCTTTTCAACCACTTTGAAATATTTCTGA